GGGGGGGGGGGGAAGAAGAAGGAAAAAAATAGAAATTTTTTGCCAACGTGTTAGGAATTAAGTGATCTACATTATTAAGCTTGAATTCCTCAATTTTGCAAAGTAAGTAAAAAGTACTTATTGTCAAGTTGTGTTTGATTTTATAGTTGTTAGATTGTTAGATTAAATTCAATTTTATTGAAGGAATTAAGCATAATAAACTATGAAATTGGGTAAGATGAAAGAAAAATTAGTTTTAGTGATTAAAGAGACTTTAGAAATCGCTTAAACGTAAAATAATTAAGTTTGGGTATTGCCTATTTAATTATTGAAATTATTTAAAATAATTAATTGTTTATTTAAAAATTATATCGTATTTCAGGCGACGATATTAATATCAGAATAGCTTACCAACCAGATTGATTTTGCAAACATAGTACTGTGAGTGGAAAAATATAAATATTTTTAAAGTATTTATAAATTAAGTATATTCTTAAAATATGTACAATTATATGAAATTATGTGTTCGAATTACATGATTATCATAGAAATCTCTTTTATTATGATACATATGAAATTTCAAGGATTATTTATTGTACATTTATAATTTGGTATATGAGACATGTGATATTGAGATTTCTTTGGTATGTGAGACGTGATATTGAGATCGACCTGAAAAGTACCCGTGATTATGTATTTCTTCTAGTTCACTGAGAGACCTTAGTCGTATTCTATACTACACTAAGGGGTCTTGGACCGGGGATGAAGGGGCCTCAACCGTGTACATATAGTTCACTAAGGGGCTTTGGCTGTGTTCTAGAATTGATTATTAGAGGTCTTTGAGACCGACTTTCATTCACGGAGGGGCCTTTGGCAAAAGTTCTTAGCTTGAAAGGCGGATTACAGATTTTAATCAGAGGGTACATTTTTGGTGAATTTTGTAGTACATTTGATGTGATGAGATTATAGCATGATTACGAGCTTATGTTTATATCATGATTTGAGATGATATTTTACGACCTTATGTAAATGTTTCACTTTTGGCTATAACTATATCATGTTATTTTGCGAGTTGTCAATGATATGACCTCGATTTCGATAAAAATGTAAAAATGGAAAAGTATAATTATTTTCAAATTTCTCCACTCACTCAACTATCAATTCATATATTTTTCCGTAATTTCCGACAGGTGAAAATTAATTCTTTTTAGCAGGAAGAGCCTAATGATTTCGGAATGAGAGCCACACGACATGTTGAGTGTTATAACTCATTTTGAAGAAGCACAAAGTAAATAATTTGGGCCAATTGCATTATGTTTTACACAAGCATTTGATTTTGTTGCATTTTTAGAAATAACTCATAGTCTGCTTTGATGATAGATTTGATATCTAGTTAGCATCTATCATCGGCGTATGTCATGTTTCGAGTCCACTGGGGTGATTTGGGACGGGTCGTGTCAAAATCGTACAATGAACTGGTCATAATAGCTATTCTTCTCACTCACCTCTCCACCAACCACCCTACTTATTGTTTACACAGAATATAACCACATTTTGTCTGTAATAACAAACTAAGTTTCGTTTCTAACAAATTTGAGTTATGACAGAAGTTCAAAATCTTAATTGGCCAGCAAATAATTGGAAAACTGCCTTCTGTTCGTTGAAATATCCACATAATCTTGACTTTCTTGAAATCAAACAAATGTTCAACTTCATTTATTATTAATTACACATTATTGAGCTGCAAACGAAGCAATACACACTGCCATGCATTTATTCAACACAAACTTCAAGTAGCTATTGTTTATTTAATTACATAAAATTGCTTTAGTTCTCAGGAATTTTCACAAGCTAACTCTCTGAAAACATGCCATTCACAAGTGCAAGTGACGTAACAACGCCTCTTCAATGCCATATTCATCCCTTGAAATAATTAACAAGAAAATTCTCGTCTAGTCCAGTAGTGATAAATTTCATTATATAATCACTCAACAAGACCTCTTTGTATTCGGGAGGATTTTCTTCCGATATCAACTCTTTAATGGGGCCATAGAAAATCTTATCCATGTGTATAGGACCAGAGAAAAAGCATGCTATGGAAATTCTTGGCCCAAGACGATTGGCAACCACTCTGTGCTTATTGCTTGTGAATTTTCCATCGGATACCAACTTTAAGCCAAAAATTAGTAGAGAAAAATCTTCAGTAAAAATGAGCCAACAATCAGGTAAAACGAAATCAGAAAACAAACAGATTCATGGTGGTTCGTGTTCGTGGGGAAATACTGAATTATTTTGGTTTCAAAGTATAACAATATATCCATATATGTATACCTGGAGAAGATCCCCAATATTAATTACAAATGCTCCAGGAATGGGCTGGACATCAACCCACTGGTTTTGGAAGAAAATCTGGAGACTGTCGATTTGGTTTTGTAGAAGAATGGTGAGAAATCCAGGATCTGAATGCTTTGCGGTTCCTAGAGTGAGTTCTGATTCAGGGCACGCTAGATAGTAGTGACAAGAAAGACGGTGCCCTTCAGAACAGTCCATGTTTCTTAGGTGCTCAGGTTCGTGTCCAAGAGCCTCTGATAGTAATCCAAACAGAATATTTCCCAAGTTATTGACGAGTTTTGAGTACTCTATAACTGACTTTCTGTGAATTAATGGCATGTTTGACAAGGTGTATTGTATAATAAGAAACCGGATTGAGAAAAAAGAATCTAAACTTTAATCAAATATCGAGTACTGCTAACCAAACACGGGCTAAACTTTGAGTACATACCTACATAAATCTGGCAAGTCATCAGAATTAATTTGATCAGGATCTGAAAATGAAATAGCCAATGTGTCTCTCCAGCTAGAAGTCCTTGATGTGAACAAATCAAAATTGCTGTTAAATCTCACCCTTCTCGTATTATCCCGCGTGTAGTATTTCTTTTTCTCCTCAACATCCTGCTATTAAATTTCTGTATTGCATCAAGCATTTCATTGAGCACATCTACGGAAATCCCATGATTCACCACTTGGAAAAATCCCCATGTTTCTGATGCAATCCTTACTTCTTCTACAATCTGTTTATGCCTATGGGTTTTCTCCAGATCACCCAAATCAATCACAGGAGCTTCAATTTGAGCCCTCTTGTAATTCAAATCTTTAGCCAGTTCTTCAGCCGGTCTTACAAAAATCTTGGGAATTTTTTGCAATCCTGAATCAACTAATCCCTTTACACCAGCTTTTGTTTCATCAGAAGTCTTCAATTCTTGCAATCTGTCGTATTCTTGAGCACCTGAGGTGTCCATGACTCCAGCTATAAGATGCAAATTTATGGGTGGATGGCCACTATAAGATTGTTGAGTTATATATCAAGAAGGTAGCAACTTTTAATATATAGACGTTGGGTAACAATTTGGCTGTGACACAAATTCTATTAAAAATTTAATTGGGAGATCCACCGGGAGTTTGTAGTATGACTTGAATAAGCCTTGAAGGAATACAAGATGGATAAGGAGAAGGTTTCGCGATTTTGAACTTAACCCTCGAACACTCCATTATTGATTTTATTTAATGTAATAAGATTTTACCATAGACTCTTGTTTGTATTAATTTTCCTAGTATGTCAGTGATTCTTATAAATATGTGGCATATTACACATTTATTTGACCTACTTAGAGAGTGATCCAGGTGGATCAGATTGACTCGTAGATAGAGAAATCATGAGAGAATCTTGAGCGATTCAGTATAATATATTGGAACTCTTTATTTTTAATTAGTGAATTCTTTGTCCCTGCTCGTGATATTTCGTGTTTTGGGTCTCAACACAAATCATACGTTCTTGTGATTGTTATTTTCATCTTGCCCATTATTTCGTCTTTAATATTCATAATAATTGGCTCATTTTCTAACAAGTGATGTCAGAGTAAGGATCAATAGCTCCTAGGAGAACCGGTTTGGTTATGTATTAGAGCAAGGTTTGATGGACTTAGAATGAGGTTTGATAGCTCTAGGATAACAAGTATAAAGTTTGATATTTCGCTTTTGGATCGCAAGACTAGCTTTTCCTTATGGCAAATTTTTGTTTGGACGATGGAGAATAAGCCAAGTAACGATCGAATTTTGATAAAAGGGTAGAGAAGGTCTCAGTTATATGTTTTGGAAGGTTCGATGATCACATTTGATTCAACTATCACTAAATTGAAGAAAATATGTATTAGGTATCAGGAGATCTTCGGTGAGGCTGATTTGTTCGCTTCAAATGGAATTGGTTGTGATCAAGTTGCTCGTAATGATAATTCGAGAAAATTGGTATTCAACGTAATCTTACATATAAGCAATGCTTGGATTCAGTCAGCATTTACTGAGTTTGCCTTAGTTGGGCTTTGTGGAAGAGGTAGAGTAACTTGGTGAATTGTTTTGTTTTTAAGTTTTATTCCTTGCAGCGAAATTTGATTCCAAGTGGAGAATTTTTAGAACTTCATTCTTTGCAATGGAATTCGTGTCAAGGTCAAGATTTATTATAATTTGTGCGTGATCCCAATTTTATTGAAAATTTAATATGGAGTTGGTAGTATGACTTGAAGATGTTTTGGAGGAGTCCAAGACGAATAAGAAGAAGATTTCATGATTTTGACAGTTTTTGGACTCATATTCAACGTCGAACACTTCGCTATTGATTTTACCTATTGTATTAGGACTTCTCTTTGTGTTAGATTTTTGTTTGTATTAATTCTTCTAGTATGTTATGAATTTTTGTATTATAAATATATGGCGTATAATATATATTTATTTGATCGGCTCAAAAAGTGACCCAGGTGGATCCAAATTGACTCACAGATAGAGAGATAAGGAGAGAGTATTGTGAGATCTAGTATAACATATTATAATCCTTACTTTTAATTAGTGAATTCTTCATTTCTGTCTGTGATTTTTCCCGTCTTGAATTTTCACGTAAATCTCGTGTTCTTGTGAATGTTATTTTCATAATGTCCATTATCTCGTTTAAAATATTAGTAACAATTGTCTCAATTTTTAACTTGTTGAAATTTTATATCTCAACTTACAAAAGATATTTATTAAAAATTTATCTTATCTCAAGACACGATGCAGAAAAGAATGGTGTCTACAACATCCCGCGGTTTAACTGGTCTGTGTGAAGAGGGGCCGGATCACAGACCCAAGGAATAGTCGTCGAAGACGGACACCTTGATAAAAAAAAAGGAAAAAAAAGAATAGTGCCTACAAAGTGAGAATCATTTCTCTGTGATGTGAGCAAAATAATGAACCAAAGTAAATAAATAAATATGAAACGCAGTTTATTGATTTTATCATTTGACGTAACTTCACATGTAAATTATTTCGACTTCTTCGTACATTTTACTTTATCGTAAAAGGTGGAAATTTCTTAATGGAAACGAGATAATATAATATACCTTCTTTTAGAGATTGATTTGGGGGGCAGGAGGGGGAGGGGCTGGGTTGGGCTGTAGTCCCCCCCGCATGCCCAATAACAATTTTTAAGGTGTTTTTTTTTTTGGTAGAAAATCAATTTTTTATGCGTAAATTTTTTTTCCCAGCGTAGTAGCTCGATTTGAAATTTTGTAACCCGATCTTGGATCCGACCCTGGATCCGTCCTTGCCTTCTTTGAATTATAATTCTTGAAATTATAAAACATGCATTAAATGTTCAATTGAAAATAAGATAGATAACTTAGTTCAGCAACTTGAAATTAAAATTCATGAGCTGATGAGAACAGCAGGAAATATATTAAAATAGCCTAAAGAAGAAGGCTACTTCTTCATTTTAGCCTTTAACTAATTCAAGTACCTAAAATACCCTTATATAAATATTATACATAAGTCTTTATTTTATAGAAATTTTCCATTCAAGTCCTTAAAAATATTAAAGAATTTAGCCTCTAATCGTAGAGTTTAAGATTTTAGTAGATCTGTAGATTTATTTAATTTTTGTTCACTCAAAGTAGCCTCCTAATTGGTATCAAAGCCATAGAGATCATGAAAATTAAAATAAGTAAAATAAATAATTATTGGCATTTAGAAAAAAAAAGGAAGTTATATTCCTAATAAATTAAAAATAATGACACTAACAATAGTCAAAGAATTAGCCAAAGAAATAAAAAAAACAAATATTAGAAAAATTAATAATAGGATCAATAAAAGATATACATATCCATGAAAAAATGATTAAAGTATGTGATGATGAAGAAATTAATATATATATTATAAAGAAAAGTATGAGTGTATATGATAATACGGATTTAAAGTTGAATAAATTAATTGCAAATATTAATAAGATACAAGAAAAAATGCAAGATATAATATTAATATCAGATGGAACAAAAGTAAAAGAAAAATAGTTAATAAAATTAAAGTGTGAAAAATAAAAAATACAGAGTAAATGCTTTAAGATAATAAAAGAAGAACTAGTAAATAAAGAGTTTGCTAAAGAAAGTTTTGAAAAAATAATAGAAGGAAAAGAAGATAAAAGATGTAAATTAACTTATATGTTAGAAAGATGATTAAGAAAGATTAAAATGTCAATAGTTAATATATGGAAGAATTAAAATCATTAATAAAAATGTTGATAAATGATGTTTAAGATTTAAGAAATGAAGTAAAAGAAACAATAAATGATATAAATATATTAAAAATTGAAATTAGAGAATTAAAAGAAAATAATAAAAATAAAGAAAAGAAAATAGATAAAACAATTTATAGAAAAAGAAATGACCCGAATAAGAAAGAAACATATTGAAAAAGAAAATATAGTAATAAAAATAGAAAATATGGATGATGAATTTAGAAAGAATATTAAAAGAAGTAGAATCTAGAGAAAAAATGTTAGGAAAATTAAAAATAGAAGAAAATCAAGAAAATAAAGATGAATCAGAAATTAGATTTACTTATAGAAAATTTTGATCAATTAAGTTTAAGTGATATAAGTGATTATCAAGCTTTAATGAATGCTGGAAGAGAACCTAATCCAATAGGGACCTTTAAATAAAAATTGCAAGAATCAGATAAAAGTTATGCACCTATATATAATAAATCATATAGAAAAATTCATGATAAAGTAAGAGATAAACAACCACCTAAAGGAAATAAATATAGAGACACGTTTGAATTAAATGATAATTATGATAAACCTATTAACCATGAACGAACAAAATTAGATTTAAATTGTAAAATAGATACTAAAAAATCCTTATTAACTTGAGCAGATTCAATGATATTATTCTTTTTATTTAATAAAGATGACACGTGAAAAAGTACTGAAAGAAGAATATATTTCTTAATAGTATCATTTGAAAGAGATGTTAGAAACTAGTGGGAATTAATAAATAATGATACAAAAACATTAATAAAAAGAAATGTACAAACAGAAATAATAAAATCAGATAGACAAGGTATATAAAAGTTAGTAGAATATATTCCAGATGAATTTTCAAGGAAAAATTGGATAAGAAATGCTGAAGGAGAAACAATAAGAGAAAAAAACAATGCTAGGATTAAATTAATAAATTTAACAATATGTGATATGTATAAAATTAAAGAATATACTTGTGAATTCAGAAATTATTATTATACTCAATTTTATAGAATGAAAATCAAGAAGTATACCAAGATATGTACTATAATAACTTACCAGATTTATAGAGAATATATTTTTAAATAGAATTTGAAAAATATGTCGAGATAATATTGAAATACATAGAACTTTAGATTTAAGAATAAAATTTTTATTTGAAAGACTTGCATATATATGTCAACAAAGACAATTATTGAAAAAATCAGAAAAAGTAACTAGAATATATTGTGAAGTTATGAAAAACCTTATACAACGAGGATGTAATCCTGAAAAAATGGTTAACAAAAGAAAATATAAAAATAAAAAGTTTAAAAAATTTATAAATTTTAATAAAAAATATATAAAACATAGAAAAAGATATTATAAAAGAAAAAATATTTCATATGGTCAACAGAAAAATAAAAATTATAAAAAAAATAAAAGCCAATATAAATGTTGGAATTGTAGGGAAATATGTTATATAAGCCCCGACTGTAATAAAAAGAAAGTTAAAATATTATAAAAAGAAATAAAAGATGAATTAAGTGAAATATCGGGTATTGAACAATATTATAATCAAGAAGTATATATAAGTGAAACAGAGAATGATGAATCAGAATCTGAATAAAGAAATAGAGGAAATAGAAAATAATAATATAAATATACAAAAATATGAAATAATAGAAGGTTATGGATTAAAGGTAACCTTTGATAATAATAAATTTAAGAAAATGCAAAAATTATCCTTAGATTTAAAAATAGGAAAATGAAAAGTTTTAGACAGAATTTGGAAAAGAGAAATGATAGCAATAAATGAATATAAAAAAATTGAGAAAACTATGGATGTAAAAACAACATATGAAAATCATAAATTAAATCTTTTAACAAAAAATACAGTTGAAGAACTATTAACAAAGGTCGGTAAAAAACAAAGTGAAAAAATTCAATATGTTTATCTAGTAGGAAAACAAATAATGTTTAATTCATTATTCAGAGAAGGGATAGACTTACCCTTAATTATAGTCTTACATGATGGAAGAATAATAAATCTAAAATATAATCATTTAGGAACAATAGAAGGAAATTTGGCATATCAAAAAATAATGTTACATGCTACCCAAAATCTTGTGTATCATTGAAAGATAGAAACTTTAATGAAATTTTAAGATTGCATTTTAAGCTGCATAGAGAAGATATCTTGCAACCAGGTGATCAAATTATAATTATAGAATATAGAGCTTTATATACATTTACCAATTCTAATTATGGAAGTCTTTATTCCAATAAACCATATATTGAAGTACATAAAGAATGTAATGATATTAGCAAAATAATAGAACCAAATAAACAAATAAGTTTAATTTCGGAAGAATATGAATTTAGTATAATAAGAAGTAAACCTGAAATAACAGAATTAAATGAAGAAGAATGTTCTAATACTATAACATCTAAGGATGGAAAGTTAATTAAAAGATCAAAAAGTCTTAGAATACCTAACAAAAATCAATAAGAAGAATTTAGTAATATAAGAGAGAGATAAAACTTTACAGAAATGCTGTAATTATGAAAATAGAAGAAGAATATTATAATGGAAAAGAATATATAAATGGACCAAATATATTAATAAATACATGAATTAGTGAATGTCATATAACTTCAATAAAAAATAAAGGATTAATAACTCATAAAACTGATCCATATAGATATGTAAATTTTGATGGACAAATACATTTTTCAGAATTAGAGCTTAAAGTACCAATAAAAATAGGAGGAATAAACATTTTAATACCACGTTATATAGACAAAAGTATGGATATAAATCCTCATATACTTCTAAGAATGAGTTTTTTGTTAAATGGATTAGACGATTATAGTATAAAAAGAGAAGGATTATATATAGTAAATAATGGAAAAACTATTTTTTGTAAAAAGAACTAAATGAACAATTAGATAAGTTTTCCATTAGCTATATATATACAAGTTACTATTGTAGAAACAAACATAACAACTTGTGGTTTAATAGACACAGGAAGTGATATAACACTATTTAAAAGTTTTCTAATAAAATCATGGAATAATAATGGCAATATAAAAATAACTGGAGTCACAGGAGAAAGCACTCAAATAATTAATAGTGTCAATAAAATTAATATAATTCTTGAAAGTAAACAAGTTATAATAAATAAAATATATAAATATGATAAATTAGAATGTGATATATTGTTAGGAAATGACTTTATACAATAATTTCAATATCATAAACAAAATAATTATATGATAATGTTACAAACACCTTGCTTACACTTATTAAAAATTCCAAGAGAATTTAGACCTTATAGAGTTTAGCCAACCCAGCGTGGTGATAAATGGGAGAAAAAACCAAGTATATTTAATTAAATAAAAAATAAAAGAATATTGTATAAAAAAGTTCTGAAAACGAGAATAGAAATAAGTATAGAAATAATTATTGAACAATTAGAAAAAGTTTATGGAGAAAATTCATTATTATTTTGGAAACCACATCACCCTAAAGTCAAAATAGAATTAACAGAAAATATTATAATAAGAGTTAGACCAATGATGTATACTATAAACGATACACAAGAATTCAAAAATCAGATAAAAGAATTGTTAGAATAGAAACTTATTAGACCAAGTAATAGACCTCATCCAATCTTTATGGTTATGAAACATTTTGAACAGGTTAGAGGAAAATTTAGAATGGTTATAAATTATAAAGAATTAAATAAATATACAAAATTTTATGGATATTTTTTACCAAATAAGGAAGTTTTAATAAACTTTGCAAAAGGAAAACAATAATATTCTAAATTTAACTGTAAATCAGGATTTTGGCAAATAAAAAAAATGGAAAAAAATAGTGTACAAGATACTGCATTTAACACACCTCAAGGAAAATATGAATGTTTAATAATGTCATTTGGATTAAAAAATGCACCACAAATATATCAAAAAAATGGATAATATATTTAAAAAGTTAAATGAATTTCTAATTGTTTATATAGATGACATACTAATATGTTCTAATAGTAAAGAAGAACATAGAAATCATTTAATCCAATTCATAAATGAATGTAAAAATGAAGGAATTGTACTTTCTAAAAAGAAATCTATAATAGAAAAACAAGAAATAGATTTTCTTGGATTATCAATAGATAAAAGAGGAATAAAATTATAGACTCATATATCTAAAAAGATAGAAAGTTTTTCAGATAAATTAGAATCCAAAAAACAAATACAAAAATTCTTAGGATGTTTAAACTATACTGAAAGATTTATTGAAAATCTCTCTAAGAAAAGAAATAAAATACAAATTTTGCTAAGAAAAACAAATACTGAAGGATGGAATGAAAAATATACAGAAATAATTAAATCATTAAAAGAAGAATGTAAAAATTTACTAAAATTAAGATTACCAGATAAAAAAATAATTTAATTGTTAACATTGATGCCTCAGATAAATATTGGGTAGCAATATTAAAGACAGATTTAAATGAGATTTGTAGATATTCAAGTGAAACTTTTAATCAAGTAAAAATAAATTATACCACTTATGAAAAAGAATTACTAGCAATTATTAGAGGAATAAAAAAAATTTCATTATTCTTGTTATCCAAGAAATTTACTGTTGAAACCGATAATTCTCAAGTTACAGGATTAGTCAAGAATAAACTACCATCAAAACCTCAATACAGAAAGCTTCATAAATGGCAAACTTATTTAGTATTCTATAATTTTGATATAGTTCATATTAAAGAGTTAATAATTTTCTTGTAGATTTTCTCAACAGAAATATAGAATTTGATGATGGATAAAGCCAGGGTCATGGATCTATACTAATCTATCCTACATATACAAAAATGACAAATTTTCTTAAAGAAGAATTTGAAAACATAAATACTGGAGCAACACAGATCTCAGAGATGTTCAACTTAAATATAAAAATATTATTGAATATCACTAATGAGCATCATAAAGAGACCATAGAACTCAAAAATCAAGTTGATGCTATTGCAGCACAACTAAAAGATATAATGTCTGCGACAGATATACCAAAGAGCTCAGAAATAAGTTTTCCAAATCAATACCAAATATGGGCAGCTGGAAGCAGCAGTGGACCCAGATGTGACACCATACCAATTGATAAAAAAAGAGATTCAACACCAACCAAAACAGTGGTGATACGTGGAGATAAAAAAGATTCCAAAACTATTAGTATCATATACCAAGACGAAGATGATATGATCCCTTTAGATCCAAAAGAATAAGAATGTGCCAAAATAGTCAGAATCGTTCATGAAATAAAAATAAGTGATTCATATTTCATCTTTCTAGAAAATAATGTTTATCCTAGAGTAACAGCCACGGATGTAACAACCTGTGTCTCTGTACTCAAACTGTTAGCTTACGTACTGTCCATTTTGGGTGGGCCTTGCGCCTACTTACCCCTCACGGCTTTTTATTGCATCCCCTTGCCCAATTGGTACCAGGATTCAACTTAAATCTTACTTAAGTGAAAGGTTACGAGTACGAATCCTGGGGACGTGACAAAAAGTCGTGATGGGTAAATGGGTGCTCAATTGGTACCAAGATTCAACTTAAGTCTTACTTAAGGGAATGATTATGAGTATGAATCCTAGGGATGAGATAGAAAGCTGTGAGGGATAAGTAGGCGCAAGGCCCACTCAAAACGGACAGTACGTAAGCTAATGGTTTGGGTATAGAGACCCGGGTTACTAGATTTTTCTCAAATTGGTGAAATTTTTTAATAGTCCATGTACTGGTATATGATATTTTCTAGTAGCTAAAATCTCAATGTAAGTCCCCAGGTAAAAAAAATAAAATAATAATAAATAAATAAATAAATAACAATAATAATAATAATAATAAATACTAAATAAATAAATTTTGATGATATATATATTTGAAACGTGTAATAAAATGTTTATTTGTTTTATTGCGTAATATTTGTTAAGGGTTAATATTTTTCTGAAGATTTATGAATTTACAATAATGACAATTTAAAGTTATTAAATATGTGAATGATCTTCGACACTCAACGACCACCAATTGGCCATCCTCCGACGACCCCATGGTACGTAAAGGGGTCAGAATATGAATGTACTTAGACATTTTACATGATTTAATATTTTAAATTACATATCTTTAAATTTTTTTAGGGTTATTTTCTCGTTAAATTTATCATATGCATACGATAAAATAAGTATAACTTGTTAGACTTAGTACTGGAATGTGACTAGTAACTTCAAATTAAATTTTAGGAAATGGCACCACCTACTCACGCGAACTTGATGCGCGATTTACTACGAGCAGTACAGGAACTGAGCAGACAGAGCCAAGCACCGCCGCCTTAGAATGCACCGCCACAGCAAAATGCACCTCCATTTGTTCTGGGAGCCGTCTCAGTTGTTTAGCAATTTCGTAGGTACAAGTCTCTGACTTTCAATGGTGGATTCGACCCATTGGCTGTTGAGGAGTGAATTAGAGGTCTAGAATGCATCTTTCGACACATCGCTTCTACGGATGCATCGAAAGTACTAGGTGTGGAATTTATGTTTGTTGGAGCAGCTAGTCACTGGTGGGAATCTGTGACATGCACTAGGAAGGAAGAGCAACAACGTAACTTGACTTGGAAGCAGTTTAAGGATGAAGTGATGGCAAAACATTTCCCACAGGCTTTAAGAAACTTCAAGGAATCAGAGTTTCTACAGCTTAGGTAGGGAGACATGTCACTTATTGATTACGAAAGGCAGTTTGACCAGCTCTTAAGATATGCCCCGCACTTAGTGGATACTGAGGTTAAGGAGATTAGGAGGTTCAAAAATGGGCTGCGCCCAGAGATCGGCATGATCATTATGTCCCATCATTTCACCTCATATCGTGAGATGTTGGAGAGAGCCCATGCTATTTCCTATCAGAGAACCACAATTGGACAGTATGCCAAGCAAAGCAAGGAGTCGTTGGGAAAAAGAAAGTGGAGTGATCAGAACAAGAACAAATGTAACTGATAAAATAAAAGGCCAAGCATATGAGTTCATATTGGTGGGACGAGTTGGGAGTATTACACCCTATCCTAAGTATAATAAACTCAATGTTTACTTGGGAAGAACATGTGTTTCTGGTGTGGTAAGCCAGGACATATTTCTCTCAATTGCAAAGAGCCTCCAAAGAAGAAGGATGATGATCAAGACAAGAATAAGAAAGCAAAGGCTCGAGTTTTTGCACTGAATCAGCATGAGGCGGAGTAGGATCCGAATGTGATACCAGGTATATTGTTATTAATATATTTAATGTAATCGCTTATGTTATTTTACCTAGAACTACACATTATTCGATCTCTATCCTTTGGTTGCTGGTCTAACACTATAATTACGAAAATAGGTATTCTATTATTATCTGATGTACCTGCTTACATACTTTTTGACTCTAGGGCTACAAATTCTTTTATCTTTGAATCGTACGTCACTAGGTCAAACTTTGTATGTGTGAAAATGAATTATGAATTAGAGGTTAGCATCCCTCCAGGAAGAACTCTTTGTACAAATCGAATAACTAGGGCAATGAAGTTAGAGATTGATGGGAAAATATTACAAGCAAACTTATACCTTTTGGAGATGAAAGATTTCGATGTTATTTTGGGCATGGATTGGTTGGGACTTAATCACGTGGCCATTTGATGTCACGAGAAAAAAGTATTGTTTCACAGATCGGGAGAGGAAGAATTCCATTTTTTTGGAGCAAAGTTCAAGTCTTTGCCTTATCTTGTATCAGCTATTCAAGCGAAAAAAATGTTGAAAAAGGAGTCATGTCAAGGATTTCTAGTTAATATCACCAATCCCCAACATACAGAAAGGATTGTTAACGATATTAGCATTGTGCAAGATTTTGCAGACGTATTCCTAGAAGATTTACCAGGCATTCCACAAGATAGACAAGTGGAATTTACAATTGATTTGGTTCCTGAGGCAGCACCAGTATCGAAGGCCCCGTACTGAATGACACCGAAAGAACTTCAAAAATTGAAGTTGCAATTAGAAGAGTTGTTGGAGAAATGTTTCATTCGACTAAGTGTATCTTCTTGGGGAGCTTCTGTACTTTTTGTCAAGAAGAAGGATGAGAGTATGAAATGTGCATTGACTATCTTGAATTGAACCATTTGACCATCAAAAATAAGTACCCGTTGCCAAGAATAGAAGATTTATTTGACCAGTTAAGGAGTGCTACATGTTTTCAAAGATCGACTTGAGGTCAGGGTATCATTAGCTGAAAATTAGGGCAAGCGATATACCAAAAATTGCTTCCAAGACTCGTTATGGACACTATGAATTCACTGTCATGCCTTTTGGTTTGACCAATGCTCTAGCTGTATCTATGGATCTCATGAACAGAGCGTTTCATCAATACTTAGACCAATTCTTCATTGTATTTATTGACGACATACTCGTGTACTCCAAAGACAAGAAACAACATGAGAAACAACTCCGAATAGTACTTGAAACCTTGAGGAAGGAGAAATTATATTCCAAATTCAAGAAGTGCAAATTTTGGCTTGATCGTGTAGGTTTCCTTGGTCATTTGGTTACTGTCCAAGGAATTAAAGTAGATTCTGTCAAAGTAGAAGCAGTAACAAATTGGCCATGGCCGAGTAGTGTGGGTGAAGTCCGCAGTTTCTTGGGATTGGCTGGTTATCATAGAAGATTCATTGAAAGCTTCTCAAAAATAGCAGGGTCGATGACTTAATTCACGAGAAAGGGTGTGAAGTTTCAGTGGACAGAAAAATATGAAAAATGTTTTTAATAACTCAAGCAGAGACTAGTTTCAGCTCCTGCATTGACAATAGCAGATGGCTCTGATGGATTTGTGATTTACAGCGATACCTCTAAACAGGGTTTAGACTATGTACTGATGTAGCATGGAAAAGTGGTTGCTTACACCTCGAGACAGTTGAAGCAGTATGAGCAAAACTATCCACGCACGACTTGGAGCTTGCAGCAGTAGTTCACGCCTTAAAGATATGGCGTCATTATCTCTATGGTGGAAATTGTGAAATTTATATAGATTACAAGAGTCTCAAATACTTTTTCACACAGAAGGAACTCAATATGAGACAGAGAAGATGGTTGGAGTTAGTGAAAGATTATGACTGCACAATTCATTATCATCCGGGTAAGGCTAATGTAGTCGTAGATGCCTTAAGTAGAAAGACAGGATCGTAGTTAGCAGTTTTATCCACGGTGCAGGAATACTTGATAAAGGACTTTGAGAAACTAAGATTGGATGTCATCACATTGCCAACTCAGACTACAGCAAGAATAAGAGCAATTATTATTTGACCCACTCTTCGGGATTGAATTAAGAAAGCAGAGGATAAGGATCCATTTTTACAAAAGATTAAGAGATTGGTACAAACAAGCGTATAAGAATTGAAGTATCTGTAGTTAAAGCATTGACTTTTAAAGGAAGATTGTGTGTACCTAAAGATGAGAGTATAAGAAATGAGATATTGGAATAAGCTCACTCCGTATGCGGCACATCCAGGCAGTACAAAAATGTATCGAGATCTTCGAGATACATTTTGATGGAGAAACATGAAAAGAGGAATTGGTCTATTCGTGAAGAAATGTATGGTCTGTTAGTACGTTAAGGTAAAACATCAAAGGCCATCCGGATTGTTGAAACCATTGGATATTCCAGAATGGAAATGGGAACACATAGCCATGGACTTCGTAATAGGTCTTCCGAAATAAGCAAAAGGTCACAATGCTATTTGGGTAGTGGTTGATCCTTTGACGAAATTAGCCCATTTTCTGCCAATCAAAGTAAATTTCAATATGGAACAGTTTGTACAATTATACATTAGGAAAATAGTTAAATTGCATAGAGTTCCTGTCACCATTGTTTCAGATAGAGACTCGAGGTTCACGTCAAAATTTTGGAATAGTTTGCAGGTTGCTAGGGGGATGAAATTAAAGTTTAGTACTGCTAACCATCCTTAGATGGATGGACAATAAGAAAGAACCATCCAAACTCTGGAAGATATGTTGAGGGCATGTATTTGAGATCTTGTGGTAGTTAGGAAACACACCTACCTTTAGTGGAGTTTGCTTACAACAATAATTTTCAGGCCACTATAGGTATGGCCCCATATGACGCTCTTTATGGTAGAAAGTGCAGATCCCCTATCCATTGGGATGAGGTCGGGGAGAACAGAATTTTGGGTCCTGAAATCATTGAACGAACAGCTGATGCAGTGGATAAAATCAAAGCAAGAATAAAGGCAGCGCAATTAGGAAAATGAAAGAAAATAAATAAGAATTCTAAGCATTCTTTTAGTCCATTCAGAGGTTCGAATCCTTTCGTCCCTGAGCCATATCCATTTTTTTATAATTTTAGAATAAAGATTGTTTTCTTGAATAACTTTCTGGGTCAGAAAAGTTATGCTGACAGTAGAAGAAAATATTTAGAATTTCAAGTAGACGACGGCGTTTTTCTAAAGGTCGTACCAATGAATGGTGTATTGAGATTTGGAAAGAAAGGGAAGTTGAGACCACGGTTCATTGGACCTTTTGAGATCCTTGAAAGGATTGGTGTTGTGGCTTATTGACTTGCCTTGACACATGAACTTGCAGTAGCATAATGAGTTCCATGTTTCGATGCTCAAAAAATATGTCCATGATCCCAATCACGTGGTAAGTTACCAAGCCTTGGAGGTACAAAAAGATCTATCATATGAAGAAATCCCAACAATGATTTTGGATAGAAAAGTACATCAACTCAGAAATAGAGAAGTTGCCCTGGTCAAAGTGCAATGGTGAAATCATGGACGAGACGAGTCAACATGAGAGAAGGAAGGGAGCTTAGAACCAAGTATCCAGAACTCTTCGATTAACTAAGGTAAATTTTCGAGGACGAAAATATTTTAAGGAGAGGATGTTGTAATGGAATTTTGGTAGAATGGAATTTAATTTTTTTTTGTATGCTATATTTTAATGTTTTGAAAGTGTAGGGACTAAAGTATATGTAAAGTAAATTTCAATTTCATTTGGGATAAAATGTAGATATTGACGGAGTGATAATAAATATATGAATATTGGGCTCATTAGATAGATTGTAATTAATTATGCATGTTAGGCTCGAGAAAAAGTTAATTTGGATTAGCGGAGCCCAAGTTATTAAAGTTGAAAGATATAGCTTTAAATTATATTTAATTGATTATTTAATGAATTTAAATTTTCCCTCAAGTGTGAATGGGGAAAGATTCTTGGTGTGTGTGTATATATATATAAGAGAAAAGAAGAGAGAGAGAGAGAGAGAGAGAGAGAGAGTTATGGGAGAGCCATGTGACTAGTGGTTAAAAAAAGCCAACTTTGTTTTTATCTTTATCCACTCTAACTTCCTAGCTCCCACATTTTCACTTGTAGATAGAAATGGTAACTACATGCCTACTTTATTATGGTCCTTCCGGTACAATGATATGATATGATATGAGCTCTTACCGGATTTTAAAGATATGAGACGATATGATTTTCTGACACGTGTTTAAAATTTTTATACGGGATCGCACCATTAATTTTTTACATCCTACTGAGTATTTCCATGTACTCACCATTTTTCTTACTCTTCATAGGTTAGATCGAGTCGTGTCGGAGCATAGTGGTTCGATTGAGCAGTTGTGCCTCATCTTGCTGGACAAAAATCTAGAATTTCATCACCTAATTTTATTTATTTGCCATAGACATTTGTTTTAACGCTAAGTTATCGTTTATGTTTATTTGTTACATGGATATTTTTAAATTGTGTTGTTACTTAAAAGTTTGAATCGAATTATATGATTTTCCTTTAATGGTATCTTATATTAATAAAAGCAAATTTTATTTAGAATTAATTATATAGAATAAAACGAAATATGTGCATGTATTCACTGTTTAAAATTTTTGGGTCATTATAGTTTGCTATTAGAGCATAGGTTTAATTTCCTATAGACCCATGTGTATAACGACCCAAATTTTTTTGATTTGAATCATTATCAAGATTTTGAAATGGTAATTTACTCTAATTTGTAGAAAATAATTTATGTATTAATTCCCAAATGGAAATAAACAGTACTTTCTTACGCTATATCTTAAACGTATAAGTTTGGAAAGATCACGTAGAATTAATCTGTAAAGTAAGACTTAGAGGCATAATTATTTTACACATGTATAATAGTTTCCATTTGACTGTCTCTATAAATTCACGTGCACCTATGTAGAAAATTAGAAACATTTATATACACATAAAGCATAATATATTTTCTCTTTCTTTAGCAGGTGGTAGATGGCATCAAGATTCACCCATTTTAAATCATTATAGTACATTGCATTTATTAGACATGTATGGTAATTGTAAATCAATTTCGAAAGTTGCTCCATGTTCCAATCTCCACTTAACATAATTATTTATGCCAAATTTGGATAACAAGGAAAACACAAAAATACCCCAACGAAATTAAAATTTCAAATCATCATTTGAAATTTCGTGTCCAAACAAAACTAAGTCCCATATTTAAAATTTAATGAACAAGCTCAATAAATAAATAAATAATCTAAGGTTGCTGCTAAAATTTAGAATTTAAGGCACGTTACACTGGATTATTTTATTTAGTCCCATAAATCTTGGTTCAACGACTGCACCTCATCGCCTACCGAACAAAGACCTGATCTAACCTGTGAGGAGTAGGAAAAAGGGTGAGTACATGGAAATACTCAGTAGGATATAAAAATTAATCGTGTGACCCTGTATAAAAATTTTGAACACATGTCAGAATTTCATACCGTCTCATATCTTTAAATCCGATAGGAGCTCACATCATATCATATCATTATACCGGAATGGTCATGTCATTGATATCATATCATTTCATATTTAACTTTCGTGAGTACACAAATTCATCAACATGAAAAAAATAATTAAACAGGACATAAAAACACTTCACTTCATATCCTACATCGTGAAATAAATCAGTTTTTGAAAGACAAACTCCAAATTCACGTTCCTACAATTCTTCCTTTTTCTTTTTATTTTTTCCTGCCTCTTTGCTTATGCATATATTTTTATGTATCTTCTATCATGTGGTGTAACTATATTCATAAATTATCCAAGAGTTGGTATCGGGAGACGTGTGAGATTTAAAAAGGACTTATGGATAAAATATTGGAAATCAAAATTTAACCAAATCTTGTCAACAAGTAAACCACTAAAAAACCAACACGTGGTGGCACATTCTAGTTTTGCTTGACCACCCACGTGACTTCCTTTCTCTCTCTCTTTTCTTTTTCCTTTTTTTTATATCTTTATTTGAATGAAGAAAATCAATCATAACCTACCCAAGAATCTTCCTCCATTCACGTAACTTGAGGGAAAATTTATATTCATTAATAATTAATTAAATTATAATTTAATGCTATACCTTTCAACCTCGATAATTTGGGCTCCGCTAATCCAAATTAACTTTTTCTTGAGCCTAAAATGCATCTTTAATTACGATCTATCCAACGAGCCCAATATTCATATACTTATTATCACTTCATGAATATCTACAATTTAACCCAATTGAAATTAAAATTTACTTTATATGCACTTTAATCCCTAAACTTTCAAAACATTAAAATATAGCATACAAGAATTAAATTCTATTCTATGATATTTTGGGATATTACAATCTCCTCTCCTTAAAATATTTTCGTCCTCGAAAATTTTCCTTGGTTAATCAAAGAGCTCTGTATACTTGATTCTAAGCTCCTCTTCCTTCTCCCCATGTTGACTCGTCTCGTCCATGATTTCACCATTGTACTTTGACCAGAGAAATTTCTTTGTTTTTGAGTTAATGTACTATCTAAAATCATTGTTGAGATTTCTTCATATGATAGATCTTTTTGTACCTCCAAGGCTTGATAACTTACCACGTGATTAAGATCATAGACATATTTTCTGAGCATTAGACCATGGAACACATTATGCACTGCTGCAAGTTTAGGCGATAAGGCAAGTCTGTAAGCCAAACTACCAATCCTTTCAAGAATTTCGAAAGGTCCAATGAATCGCGGTCTCAACTTTCCTTTCTTTCCAAATCTCAGTACACCCTTCATTGATGCTACCTTTAGAAAAACCTTAGCGCCTACTTGAAATTCTAAATTCTTTCTTCTACCATCAGCATAACTTTTCTGTCGATCTTGCGCTGCCTTTATTCTTGCTCTAATCTTATCAACTGCTTCAACTGTTCGTTAAATGATTTCAGTACCCAAAATTCTATTATCTTCGACCTTATCCCAGTAGATAGGAGATCTGAACTTCCTACCATAAAGAGTTTCATATGGGGCCAAACATATAGTGGCCTGGAAACTATTGCTATAACGAAACTCCCCTAAAGGTAGGTGTGTCTCCCAACTACCACCAAGATCTAAAATACATGCCCTCAACATATCTTCTAGAGTTTGGATGGTTCTTTATGATTGTCCATCCATCTGAGGATGATATACAGTGCTAAACTTCATTTTCGTCCCCATGGCTGTCTGCAAACTTTTCCAAAATTTAGATATGAATCTTCGGTCTCTATCTAAAACAATAGTGACTGGAACTCTATGCAATCTGACTATCTCTTTGATGTATAACTATGCGAGCTGTTCCATGTTGTAATTTACTTTGATTGGCAGAAAATAGGTTGACTTCGTCAGACGATCCACCACTACCCAGATAGCATTGTGACCTTTTGCTGACCTCGAGAGGCCTACAACAAAGTCCATTGTTAAGTGTTCCCATTTCCATTCTGGAATATCTAATGGTTTCAACAGTCCTGATGGCCTTTGATGTTCTACATTAACCTACTGACAGACCATACATTTCTCCACGAATAGACCAATTCCTCTCTTCATGTTTCTCCACCAAAATGTATCTCAAAGATCTTGATACATTTCTGTATCGCCTGGATGTGCCGCATATGGGGTGGAGTGAGTCTCTTCCAATATCTCATTTCTTATACCCTCATCCTTAGGTACACACAATATTCCTTTAAAAGTAAATGCTTTATCTGCAGATACTTCAAATCCTATACATTTGTTGGTACCAATCTCAGCCTTAATCTTCTGCAAAAATGGATCCTTATCCTGTGCCTCCTTAATGCAATCCCGAAGAGTGGGTCGAATCATAAATGCTCTTATTCTTGTTGTAGTTTGAGTTGACGGTGTGATGACTTCCAATCTTAGTTTCTCAAAGTCTTTTATCAAATTTCTTGTACTGTGGGCAAAGTTGCTAACTGCGATCCGGTTTTTCTGCTTAAGGCATATGCGACTACATTAGCCTTACCCGGATGGTAATGAATTGTGTAGTCATAAACTTTCACTAACTCCAACCATCTCCTCTTTCTCATATTGAGTTCCTTCTATGTGAAAAAGAATTTGAGACTCTTGTGGTCTGTATAAATTTCACATTTCCCACCATAGAGATAATGATGCCATATCTTTAAGGCATGAACTACTACTGCAAGCTCAAAGTCGTGCGTTGGATAGTTGTACTCATACTGCTTCAACTGTCTCGAGGCGTAAGCAACCACTTTTCCATGCTGCATCAGTACACAGCCTAAACCCTATTTGGAGGCATCGTTGTAAATCACAAATCCATCAGAGCCATCTGGTATTGTCAATACAGGAGCTGAAACTAGTCTCTGCTTGAGTTCTTGAAAACATTTTTCATATTTTTCTGTCCACTGAAACTTCACACCATTTCTCGTGAACTGAGTCATCAGCCCTGCTATTTTTGAGAAGCTTTCAATGAGTCTTCTATAATAACCAGCCAATGCTAAGAAACTGCGGACTTCACCCACACTGCTCGGCCTTGGCCAATTTGTTACTGCTTCTACTTTAGCAGGATCTATTTTGATTTCTTGGACGGTAACCAAATGACCAAGGAAACCTATACAATCAAGCCAAAATTCGTACTTCTTGAATTTGGCATATATTTTCTCCTTCCTCAAGGTTTCAAGTACTACTCGGAGTTATTCCTCATGATGTTTCTTGTCTTTGGAGTACACGAGTATGTCGTCAATAAATACTATGACGAATTGGTCTAAGTATTGATGAAACACTCTATTCATGAGATCTATAAATACAGCTGGAGTATTGGTCAAACCAAAAGGCATGACATTGAATTCATAGTGTCCATAATGAGTCCTGAAAGCAGTTTTTGGTATATCGCTTGCTCTGATTTTCAGCTGATGATACCTTGACCTCAAGTCGATCTTTGAAAACACTGTAGCACCCCTTAACTGGTCAAATAAATCTTCTATTCTTGGCAACGGGTACTTACTTTTGATGGTCAAATTATTCAATTCTCGATAGTCAATGCACATTCTTATACTCCCATCATTCTTCTTGACAAAAAGTACAGGAGCTCTCCAAGAAGATATACTTGGTCGAAATGAAACCTTTCTCCAACAACTCCTCTAATTGCAACTTCAATTCTTGAAGTTTTTTAGGTGCAATTCGGTATGGGGCCTTGGATACTGGTGCTGCTCCAGGAACCAAATCAATTGTGAATTCCACTTGTCTATCTTGTGGAATGCCTGGTAAATCATCTAGGAATATGTCTACAAAATCTCGCACAATGTTAATATCGTTAACAATTGTTTCTGTATGTTGGGGACTGGGTGATATTGATTAGAAATCCTTGACATGACTCCTTTTTCAACATCTTTTCCACTTAAATAGATGATACAAGACAAGGCAAAGACTTGAACTTTGCTCCAAAAAAATGGAATTCTTTCTCACCCGGTCTGTGAAACAATACTTCTTTCTCGTGACATCGAATGGTCGCGTGATTAAGTCCCAACCAATCTATGCCCAAAATAACATCAAAATCTTTCATCTCCAAAAGGTATAGGTCTGCTTGTAATATTTTCCCATCAATGTCTAACTTCATAGCCCTAGGCATCCGATTTGTACAAAGAGTTCTTCCTGAAGGGATGCTAACCTCTAATTCATAATTCATTTTCACACATGCAAAGTTTGACCTAGCGATGAAGGATGCAAAGATAAAAGAACTTGTAGCCCCTGAGTCAAAAAGTATGTAAGCAGGTACATCAGATAATAATAGAATACCTGTTTTCGTAATTATAGTGTTAGACCAGCAACCAAGGGACAGAGATCAAATAATATGTAGTTCTAGGTAAAAGAACGTAAGCGGTTACATTAGATATATTAATAATAATATACCTGGTATCACATTCGGATCCTGCTCCGCCTCATGCTGATTCAGTGCTAAAACTCAAGCCTTTGCTTTCTTATTCTTGTCTTGATCATCATCCTTTTTCTTTGAAGGCTCTGTGCAGTTGAGAGCAATATGTCCCAACTTACCACACCGAAAGCACATGTTCTTCCCAAGTAAACATTCACCTCTGTGGAGTTTATTACACTTAGGATAGGGTGTAATACTCCCACTCGTCACACCAATACGAACTCCTATGCTTGGCTTTTTATTTTGCCAGTTATGTTTGTTCTTCTTCTGATCACTCCACTTTCTTTTTTCCAACGACTACTTGTCGTGCTGGGCATACTGTCCAATTGTGGCCATCTAATATTAAATAGCATGGGCTCTTTCCAACATCTCATGATATGAGGTGAAACGATGAGACATAATGATCATGTCGATCTCTGGGCGCAGTCCATTTTTGAACCTCCTAATCTTCTTAACTTTAGTGTCCACTAAGTGCGTGACATATCTTGAGAGCTGCTCAAACTGGCTTTTATAATCAGTAAGTGACATGTCTCTCTGTCTAAGCTGTAGAAACTCTGATTCCTTGAAATCTCTCAAAGCTTTGGAAATATTTTGCCATCACTTCATCCTTAAACTGCTTCCAAGTCAAGGTATGTTGCTACTCTTCCGTCCTAGTGCGTGAGACAGATTCCCACCAGTGACTAGCTGCTCCAACAAACATAAATTCTACGCATAGCACTTTTTGTGCATCCGTACAAGCGACGTGTCGAAAGATGCGCTCCAGACCTCTAATCCACTCCTCAACAGCTAGTGGGTCGGAACCACCATCGAAAGTTGGAGGCTTGTACCTACGAAATTGCTTAACCACTGAGGCGGCTCCCAGAGACAAATGGAGGTCCATTTTGCTATGGCGGTGCATTCTGTGGCGACAGTGCTTGGCTCTGTTTGCTTAATTTTTGTACCGCTCGTAGTAAATCGCGCATCAAGCTGATGCGAATATGTGGTGCCATTTCCTAAAATTTAATTTGAAGTTACTAGTCACATTCCAGTACTAAGTATAACAAGTTATACTTATTTTATCGTACGCATTTCATAAATTTAATGAAAAAATAACCCTTAAAAAATTTAAAGATATGCAATTTAAAATATTAAATCATGTAAAATGCCTAAGTACATTCATCTTCTTACCCCTTTACATACCTTAGTGTCATCGAAGGGTGGTCGATTGGTGGTCGTTGAGTGCTGAAGATCATTCACATATTTAATAACTTTAAATTATCATTATCGAAAATTCATAAATCTTCAAAAAAAATATTAACCTTTAACAAATATTACGCAATGAAACAAATAAACATTTTATTACACATAACATTTAAAACGTGTAAAATCCAATGTTTATATATATCATCAAAATTTATTTATTTAGCATTTATTATTATTATTATTATTATTATTATTATTATTATTATTATTATTATTATTATTATTATTATTGTTGTTGTTGTTGTTGTTGTTGTTGTTATTTATTTATTATTATTATTATTATTTTTTCACATGGGGAATTACATCGAAATTTTAGCTACTAGAAAATATCATATATTAGTGCATGGACTATTATAAAATTTCACCCATTTGAGAAAAATCTAGTAACTAATAATCTAGTGATTATTGTGGCTAAACATAAAATTTACTCTAAGTATTTCTAAAGAGTCTATAAGTACATAGACACATAAACTATTTAACCAATCACATTTTTTTTTAAAAATTTTAAACAGTTCACGGTTTGAATAGTGACCCATCATTGCTCACCGGTTCACGTCCCAATTTTTTTTAAAACCAAGTTATGAGAATACACGTGGGTCTACAGGAAATTAAACCTATGCTCTGATAACAAATTGTAACGACCCAAAAATTTTAAATTCGATTCGCTACCCAAAAATTATTTATAGAGAGGTCAATGTTATTTTAAACCACTTATGGCTCATAAATTTACATTTCTAATTGACACATCCTTAGAAGTTGAATAAAATAGGATTTCTGGCCACTAAATTTGTAAATTTCATACTGTTGGAATATTTTCTTTTAAAATAATCAACTACTTAAATGTTATGAAAACTCTATAGATAAAATAGAAATAGTATGCACAAATATTAACTAACCATGTTTTTATTTCTTACTGAATTTAAAATAATGATAATAAGGAATATTTTATTTATTCCTTTATAGTGAGTAGAAATATGACATCAACTTCACCAATTTAATATTATTACTTATTCACACGAATAAAGCAGTAAAGTATAACCAATTACTTTTAAATAGTGAATATATGCACCTATTTCATTTTATCCTATATAATTAATTCTAAATAAAATTTGCTTTCATTAATATAAGATACCACTAAAGGAAAATCAAATAATTCGATTCAAACTTTTAAATAATAGCACAATTTAAAAATATCCATGTAGCAAATAAACATAAACGATAGTTTAGCATTAAAACAAATGTTTATGGCAAATAAATAAAATTATGTGATAAAATTCTAGATTTTTGTCCAGCAAGATGAGGCACAATCACTCAATCGAACCACTACGCTCCAACACGACCTGATCTAACCTGGAGGAGTAAGGAAAATGGTGAGTACATGGAAATACTCAGTAGTATGTAAAAATTAATGGTGCAATCCCGTATAAAAATTTTAAACACGTGTCAGAAAATCATACCGTCTCATATCTTTAAAATCCGATAAGAATTCATATCATATCATATTATATTATTGTACCAAAATGGCCATATCATTCATATCATAGCATTTCATTCTATAACTTCAACATGCATGAGTACAAAATTCATCAACATGTTAAAAAATAAAATTAAACGGGACATAAAAACACTGCACCTCATATCTTACCTTGTAAGATTGAATAAATTGTTGAAAGGTGAAATTCAAAATTACGTTCCAAATCTTCTAATTTTCTTGGCTGCCGTAAAAAATGAGACTGTCTTCTGTCGACTGCTTATGTATATATATTTGTGGTGAAATTATTGGATTCTTTATGTGCTTTAATTATGCTGGAAATAAATACCCCTTTTGAATCTACCATGAACGTGTGTGTGTGTGTATATATATATATATATATATATATGTGTGTGTGTGTGTGTGTGTGTGTGTGTGTGTGAGATAAATTTTGGTGTAGATAGAATAATCAAAACGTGTGCCACAAGAAATTTGGTTGGGGTCTTAGATAATGGCCCCGTTTGGGAGGATTTTGAGAATTGATTTTTTGATCGTTAGAAGAAAAGTGGGGTCCACCTGTGAGAGAAGAAATCAAAAATTACGACTGAAATAGTGAAATAACA